GTTTCTGTCTTCTGCTACGTTTCTTTCCCTGTAGTCAGTTTCTGTCTTCTGCTACGTTTCTTTCCCTGTAGTCAGTTTCTGTCTTCTGCTACGTTTCTTTCCCTGTAGTCAGTTTCTGTCTGCTGCTACGTTTCTTTCCCTCTGATCAGTTTCTGTCTGCTACTTCTTTTTTTTCCCTCTGATGTTTCTATCTGTCACCTGCCTTACTTTTCCCCAGACACTAAATGACCATAATTGCATCTATATGCCTCTCTTTACTCAAAGAAAGAAAAAAGCAAAAGCTTCTGTCTGTCTGTTTGTCTTGCTTACTCCCAGCATTGAATAATTGTCAAAGTGTCAATGTGCTTCTCTTTACTCAAAGAAACAAAAACGCAAAGATTCTTTCTGCCTGTCTTGCTTATTGCCGCTACACTGAATGACTGTCTGTCTGTCTTGCTTATTCAATATTCCCGCTACACTGAATGACTGTCTGTCTGTCTTGCTTATTCAATATTCCCGCTACACTGAATGACTGTCTGTCTGTCTTGCTTATTCAATATTCCCGCTACACTGAATGACTGTCTGTCTGTCTTGCTTATTCAATATTCCCGCTACACTGAATGACTGTCTGTCTGTCTTGCTTATTCAATATTCCCGCTACACTGAATGACTGTCTGTCTGTCTTGCTTATTCAATATTCCCGCTACACTGAATGACTGTCTGTCTGTCTTGCTTATTCAATATTCCCGCTACACTGAATGACTGTCTGTCTGTCTTGCTTATTCAATATTCCCGCTACACTGAATGACTGTCTGTCTGTCTTGCTTATTCAATATTCCCGCTACACTGAATGACTGTCTGTCTGTCTTGCTTATTCAATATTCCCGCTACACTGAATGACTGTCTGTCTGTCTTGCTTATTCAATATTCCCGCTACACTGAATGACCGTCAAAGTGTCCATGTGCTTCTCTTCACTCAACCATAAACAAAAAGTTCTTTATTTGTTGTCAGTGGTATAGGGGCAGGCTCTGGCCTCCATCAACATAATCTAGATGATTTAGGAGGCAGGCTTCCAATGTTGCCTGTCAGGGACAACCTGGGCTTTGAGGGATACAACATCCCAGCAGAAAGACCGAGAAACTCGAGAAAACTTCTCCCCACTCCGGCATCAAACTTGGGTTACCTGTGTGCGACAGCAGAATGCCTAACTGCTACAACACAGATGCCGATAAGGATGGCAAACGATGATCCAGCAAGCCGCAGATCATATGGATGGTATTTTTACCACACACTTCTAAAATGTAGCAAGCAAAAAATGTCGAAAACCTCCACCATTTTTATCAATGCACTGGGATGAAGGCCACGTGCTCAAAGGCTCCCGAACTGACATGAACAAGAAGCAGGCACATTGAAATCTTTGAAATAAGATCATAACAGCGATAGTTAATGTTTTGTGCCTCTATTGACACAGCTTTTCATAATTTTGGGAAGTTTTCTCAACATAGTTAAATTTCGGCCACCCTTCCCTCCTTTCTTCCCCTTCTCCATCTCAACACTTCTCCCCCTACAGGAACCCATTCATCTTTCAAAATTTTGAAATTTTTTTTTTTTAATTGTAATTTCTTAATCTATGGTATTGGCAGCATTATATATGCTCCATAGACATTTCGTTGAAGTTCAAATTCTAAATGTTACAAAAAGCAATAAAAATATATAGTGGGGGTACAATTGTTATAAAGAATGAAACAGTTTTTTCTCTCTCTCGAAAAATTTTGCCGTCTGAGCTTAGGACAGTTGACCAGCTCGCTAAACAATATATACCTCCAGTTGGCATGGTGACCACTTTCTCCGTCTTCTTGCCCTGTCCAACGGTCACAGCAAACACCTGGAGACACAAAGAGACAGGTTCTAGAAACTGTGCGGACACAATTTACAGAAAACACACACACACAACTCCTTGCTTGGGATTGTCAAAGTTAAAAGCACACTGACACAATAACTGTCATACAACAAACAACACAAAGCGCATTGATGTCCAACACAATCTGAGGCTAAAACAGCACCTGGACATGGATGGCTGGTGCCTCTATAAATAAATCATTGATGGTCTGGTCTGGTCTGGTCCACACACACAAACACACACACACCTAAACACACACAAAAATACACACACACACACGCACACACACAAACCTACATGTGACACATAGCCACACACACATCCTGCCTCACTATTCATACCCACACAAATAACCAAACACACCCAACACTCCCCAGTACAAAGCCACAGAACTTCACAGTAAGAAGCCAGACTCCAAAGTCTCACCTGGAAAGTGTACTCGTAGCCCGCCTTGAGCTTGTCAAAAGTAACAGAGGTGGCTGTTGTACCCAGGCTCATGGTGTTCGAATCCAGTGGCTGTAACACAGGAGAGGGGAATGAGTTTTTTTAGTAAGAGTTTTACAGCACTTGCAACACAATAAGGTCATATAAGTGCTGAAAATTAGAGGTGTTACAAGAGAGTAACAAACACACAAAAAAGAGGGGAGATAATGACAATGGACATTTGATAAGAAAGAAGGAGCAAACCACACCAGAGCACCCGCCAACCATATACAAAATGTGTTTGTTTGAGGAAAGAGAAGCACACAGACACAGGAGAGTCTGGTTTAGTTTTAGTAAGAGTTTTACAGCACTTGCAATACAAAGAGATCATACATATAAGTGCCGAGGATAGAGGTACCACTGGAGAGTAACATACAAAGAAAAGGAGGAGGAGAGACAAGAATGATAGACGCTTGATAGGAAAGGAGCAAACCACACCAGAGCACCTGCCAACCACCCACAGGGGAAAGTCTGTCTGAGTAAGGAGAAGCCCATTGACCCACTAGAGGGGAACGTGAAAATAATAAACGAACGCACACAGGGGACATAACATCACATTTATTTTGTACTATCATATACCGACCCCATTTCTCCCTTTTCGAAGTGAATCATTTTGAAAGTACTGAGCTCCAGTCATAAAAAAGGGATTATGTACAAAATGAAACTGAACTCCTCCAGAACACAGGCAATGATCGTAATAATTTTGGGCTCAAAGGGAAGATTTTTTAACAGGCTTGATAGTTGGGACAAAAATTGTTAAGTCTGAGAAATTGAGGTTAGTACAAGATTTTTTAGTTTTAGTAAGCGTTTTACGGCACTTGCAACACAATAAGGTCATATAAGTGCCAAAGATTAGAGGTGTTACAAGAGAGTAACAAACACAAAAAAGAAGGAGGGGAGATAAAGACGACAGATGTTTGATAGGAAAGAAGAAGCAAACAACATCAGAGCACCCGCCAATTACCCACTTAGTACAAGATTGCATTCGGCTTGTGAACAATCACCACACAGTTGTCTTATTCTGATGGTAAAGTTTGAATGTCTCTTAACAGAAGTCTGATCTTGGTGTGCACAAGGCAAGACCAATATATCTACTCATTCTCACAAGGGCCTGGAGTCCATTACTCAATTAATCCACTCAAACCGGGATACGCATCCATGCGTCGATACCCTTTTTTGAAGGAATACGAACCGATGACTATCTGGTCATAATTGCTATCACCAAAACATGATCATGGGACCTACGAAGTTGGTTTGATCCTCATAGGGTACCTCATTGGTCATAACATCAGCTGACAACAAACACGAACACACACTGACAAAACAACTGTCGTGACAACAGCAACAACAACAATGGTCAACAAACATGACTCACAGCGGAGGCCACGTCGGGCTCCCGGCCCCTGTACGAGACCACGTAGTCTGTGAGCACGCCGTTCATCACCAGGGGGCGCTCCCACGACACGTCCACCGTGTTGAGGCCACGGCTGACCGCAGCCAGAGACTGGACGGCCGACGGAGCTGGGGACAGTTAGTTTTAGTTAGGTTTTACGACGCTTGCAACTGCTTAAGGTCATATGAGCGCCAAGGGGTGGATGTCAACAGAGAAGTCCATACAGGGAATCAGGCTTACTCTGCTCACCTCTCTAGCTTCAACAGCACAAAGTCTGCTTCAACTATCAAGGCACCCCGGAAATAGTGGGTCACAAGAGAGTGACAAACATACAAAAGAAGTAGAGGGAAAATGACGATAGTAAGGATGAGGACAGAAAGGCTGGGGACTGACGCACGGAAGGCATATGTGAGGAAAGTGAAGAGCCTCGACACATCAGCTGTCATTGGGTGCAGGGAAGGTTTAGTTTCAGTAAGAGTTTTACGGCACTTACAAACACAATAAGGTCATATAAGTGCCGAAGATCAGAGGTGTTACAAGAGAGTAACAAACATAAACAGAAGGAGGAGAGATCAGGACGACAGATGTTTGATAGGAAAGAAAGAGCAAACCACACCAGAGCACCCGCCAACCACCCACGGTCAATGGACAGATAAACAGGAAGGAAAGAAGGACCTACCAAAGGCACCCTCCAACCACCCGCAGAAACACAGATGTACATCATTTTCAGCACACAATTTTTGACAATACACAAAGAATAGGATATTATTGATCTCCACGAGAGAAATTCACTGCTGCATGGTAAATGCATGCACGTATATATGACCTTGTCAACACACATACACCCTTCCACTCTCTCTCAATCTCTCACTCTCTCCCCTCCCTCTCTCTCCCTGTCCTTCACACACACACACACACACACATACACATCACTTACGAGCCTGCTTCGTTTGCTGCTGATAGACCTCTGTAACATTTTTCCTCCTGCCCCCCAGCTCCTCTCTCTCTCTCCCCTCCCCCCCTCTCTCTCTCTCTCTCTCCTTCACACACACACACACCCACACATCACTTACGAGCCTGCTCCATCTGCTGCTAATAGACTTCTGTAACATTTTTCCTCCTGCCCCCAGCTTCTCTCTCTCTCTCTCTGTCTCTCTCTCTCTGTCTCTCTCTGTCTGTCTCTCTGTGTCTCTCTATCTCTCGCCTTCCCCTTCACACACAGATACACATCACTTACGAGCCTGCTCCGTTTGCTGCTGATAGACTTCTGTAACATTTTTCCTCCTCCTCCTCCTCTCTCTCTCTCCCCCTCTCTCCCTCACACGCACACACACACACACACACACACACATCACTTACGAGCCTGCTCCGTCTGCTGCTGATAGACTTCTGTGACATTCTTCCTCCTTCCCTCCAGCTCCTGTGCTAAGGTCACCACCTCGAAGCTGTAGTCTTTGTACGGGCTCAGGTTGTCAAAACTGACCGTGGGCTGGCCCGCCGGGGGTTCTTGCTGACCACAAGAGCTGGCTCCCGGCCGGACCGGCATACACGTGACCCGGTGACCCCAAGCTTGACCTTGCTGGGGCCCAAAGGTCAGGGTTATCTTTGTGGCGGTTGCCGACAAGGTCACCGGTACAGGGTTGGGATCTGAAAGAAGCAAAAATCTTCTCTTTAATTTCCCTGAAGTAACGAAAAAGGTTGTAGGAAAGTCTACAAAAATGTTCAGTTTCTTAGAACTGGGATGCCAAACGATTTTTGAAAAAGAACCTGAAGATGAGCAGGGCAACACATCTCACCTAAAATGAACCTTGTAAATAAAAAAAAAAAAGAGAAAACAAAAACATCCCTCTGACCTCTCCCCTTTCCTTTGTAAGTGTATGGGGCCTTTGTTGCATCAACTCCAATAATATTATTTCTCTCTTGAGAAAAAGGACCTTATGTCAGTGGCATTCTTCTTCAGGGATACCAAATGATTTTTTGAAAAAACAAAACACCCGCAAAAAACAGAAAAACCTGAGATTTGGCATCCCTGTTAGAAGTACAGTCACACCTATCCATAATGCTCACTCAAGGTCACAGAGAAAAGTGACAGTTATAGACAGGCGACCACTATGAACAGGGTCTGAGTTATGGTCACTTACTAGACTAGACAAAGTCAACAGACACGCCCCCCCTCCCCCTCCCCCCCCCCACAATTTCCCTGTCACAAGTACCAGTGAAAATACAGTGTATCCTCTCTATAACGACATCGTCAGGACCAGAAAAAAATGTCGTTATAGAGAGTTGTCGTTATAGAGAGGCAACCTAAAGTTACTAATGATATATAAGGAAAAAATCGGGATCTGGGCACCATGTCGCTATACAGAGGTTGTCGTTATATCGAAGGTCTTTAAAGAGAGGCTGCACTGTATAATTATTATTATAATTATTATTATCATAAAGCATTCACAACACAGTCTCTCTACCCTTAACACTTTGCCATCACAAGGCTCATAAAATAAACGCTTGCCATCAAAGACAAAGGCATTTTGGGGAAAATCCAAAGAAACTGGGTGGTAAATATTGCCGATCGGCGAGATGTGACGGCAAAGTGTTAATGAGTTCCAGCAAACCCTAATCATTATTATAATTATCATTATGAAAAAGCACACGCATCGCATCCCCCCTTACCTGTGATTAGTTCCAGCGAGATAGCATCGCTGGTCTCCGCCCCACTGCGCGTCACCGCCTCAAGCGTGTAGCGTGTACCTCCCTCCAGCGCGGAGAACTCCACAGTGCGCTGCGGCGCTGCCTTGCTGCGACTGACCGCATCCACTTCCTGTCCCGACTCGTCCGTCAGCGTGAACAGGAAGTCGGAAAACACGTCGTCTGGCTTGACCGTGTACTGGATGGTGAGAGACGAGTTGGTGGAGGAGAGCTCCTCTAGGAAACTGTGGATCACAGGCTCTGGGGAGGGGAGGGGAGGGGGGGTGTGAATATAGTTTTCGTGAGAGTTTTACAGCACTTGTTTTTTTTAGTTTTAGTAAGAGTTTTATGTCGCTTGCTACACAATAAGGTCATAAAAGTGCTGAAGATTAGAGGTGTTACAAGAGAGTAACAAACACAAAAAAGAAGGAGGAGAGATAAGGACGATAGAGGTTTGATAGGAAAGAAGGGGCGTCCAGGAAGGAAGAGAGATAAGGAAGGTAGATGTACGACAGGTGAGAAGAAGCAAATTACAACAGATCATCCAGCCACCACCAACCACCCACCCACACAACAAAACACAGACAGAAGAACCTACTGGCAGTAACGCCGATGCTCACAGACGTCGACTTGTAGACGTCAGCCACCAAGCTGGTGAGCGTGACCGTGTAGTTTTGACCGGCGGTCAGCCCCCGCAGCTCCAGCGCGTACTCTGTCTGGTCCTCGGTAGCGTCCACCTGCTGGGATCGGCTGAAGGTCCCCGCCGCGT